GAAGATGGCTGCCTGCAGCTCCAAGCCTATATCCTACCAGTTTGGCACCTGAAGCAGGAAGAGAAAGCCTCTTTCCCAATACTAGTTCTAGCAAGCATCCTTAGATTGATTCTCATGGGCCTGCTTTTGTGATGTGCCCATTATGAGCCAATCATGTGGATAGGGAATAGAAGGCTCTGATGGGTCAGGCCTGGTTCGCTCCTGGAACTAGCATCTGGGGTCATACTGAAAAGAGGACGGACTAACAAAGGAAGAGAGTGGTTTCCCCAAAGGGAAATTGGAACTGTTACCAGAAGGAGGAGAAATGATTGTGGGTAGGTGAAACCGACTCATTTCCAAAGCATATAGAGTTAGAGAACTAGGTGCGGAGACAAAGCCACATGTGTTTTTTCTGTCTTTAAGGCATGAGTGATTTCAGGCTACACAGGGGGCGTAAAGGAGAAAGTAGAATCCCTGTCATGGTTCCCACCAGCAAGGTGGGCACAAGGAGCAGGACTGGTACCACTGATGAACTCAATGGGGCCACAAAGCCCTGTGCAGACCCAGGGACTCCTCACTTCCAGCCCCAAGTGAGAAAGCCACCTTGGTCAGTCCTGTGCCGTGTGCCCCAGCAACTCTGTGCTGCCACCTCCAAGAGAGATAAGCAACGCAGGGGGCTTTCTCCTCAGGAGACAGCTCTTGGGGCCTCTGTCTTTTCTCCCTGGCTCTTCCCACAGAGCCCGGCAGAGGTTCATCTTGGGGTACAGTTTGTATCCTCCCAGTAACCTCACATCACTCCATTTTTTATGTCGGGCTGGACACTATCTCCTCCCGGTCCTCCTGATCCAGCCCTGAGTTCTCAGGTCTTTCTTGCCTTTGCAGTGGCTCCCCTTGGAGGTCCCACCAGATGGCCAAGGCTGAGCTCTCTCCCTCAGCCCGCAGGGTCAGGTTAGCCCTTCTGGCCCTGGGCCACCTCCTTCTGCCTCAGTGTGTTCATTCTTTCCCAGCCACTGTCCAGCCTGGCACCTTGAGACCTCCTCAGGGGACTTCCCTGATGGCCTTTCTCTTGTTCTAAGTTCTTGGGCCCTTCTTCAGGTCCCTAAACTGAAGCTTCCACTGTAGCTAAGAATCCTGGCTTCTTATTTCCTTCTAAATCCCCAGTTTTTCTAAGCTCTGTAGCTCCTTTTGCAGAACCTCTAAAAGGCCCTCATTTTTGTCATAGGTCCCCCCATGGTGTCAACAGTTTAGGTCATCCCGGTAGTAGACTTTGGTGGGGAGGGGTGCTATTCAGAATATTAAGTGCCACATGGCACAGGCACTGACCAATCAGAATGGACACTGGTATTAGAAGCAGAGTCCTGGGGGCCGAGTCAGGTGTTAACTCTTTTGTTGCTGGATCATGCTGGCCCTCCTGGGAGTTCCAAGGGAGGGGCAGCTGGGGTGGGGGTTCAGGGGGTAGCTATTTACCAGCAAATGGATAAACTGTGCACCCCAGCTGAACGTTCACTCAACACATCTTCCTCCCAGACAGGCATACATCCAGCACCTCCTACCTGGGCCACACCTCAGTCCTGGTTTCGGCTTTGCTGTGTATAAGCTATGGGACTTGAATAATATGCTTTGGC